TCTCCTTCTGCAATAACTCTTTCTGAAGAGATAATAGAAGAACAAGGATTGCCCAACATTAAATTACAGGTAAGCATTGAGAGAAATTATAGCCAAGAAAACACAAAGTAGTCGTGCCAGAGATTAATTGAGCTACTTGCTATTCCTATGTATTCATTTTAATACAGTAATTAGCTCTTTTGAAATTCACCGGAGTTTCTGCATACTTGGGAGGACTCTAACCAATAGCTTGTTAACACGCTCATACTTACAAGAAGATATTTTAGTTAGTGGGAACTTGTACACTTCTCATTAAGGGAAACAAGAATTTCATGCCTGCAGCAAGGGAATTGTTAGTAACTGGGTCCAAATAATTCTTGTAGACACCTAAATGGGATTTAGATGCCTATGTTAGGAAAAGTGATTTAAATTAACTTTGCTCTAGCAGCTGTAAAACCCTTTAGGTAGCTCTATTTTGGTTTTAAAGGATTGCTGAGTCATAGGCTTCGGCTTCTATGCATGCTCACAAGCCATCCAATTTTTGAACACCCTGGTGCTTAATTCCCACCTACACTCTGTTGTGAGTCATGGCAGAGTTGGGAAATGCATGAAGATTGCCTTAGTTGCCCTCAAAGCACACAAATCTCCCTGACACTGCTAAGTACAGTATAAAGCTTAGCACCCCTGGTCCCTCTCACTTGACCACTAGGGGTCTGCTTAACTTGTGGTTTCATGTATTTTGCGGAAACTGAGAAATCCAGGATTGTCCTTAAATCCGCAAAAACAAACAAACAAACTCCCCCTGCACCTCCAACTTAAAAATAAAATGCTGGCTCCCCAGTGGGAGGCAGCAGTCCTCATTGCTGCTGTGGCCTGCCCAGAAGAAGGCACCAGCTGGCAGGGCAGCATGAAGGACAGCAGAAAAGATGGCTGCCTCCCCCTTGTCCCTTCTCCCTTTCCAAGGGCCTTTCTGCCAATCAGCACCAAGGGGTGGAGCTACACAAAGGGCAGCCAGCAGACAGGATGGTGGCTGCCCCCTCTTCCCTCTTCCCACCTGGGGCTGCTCCACCAATCAGCACGAAGGGGCAGAGCCACCAGAGCAGATCCACGAAATGTTCATGGAATTTGCTCTTCATGCTGTGACCCGCCCATGAAAATTGGTAAATCTGACTGCGACTTGAGTAGCTGCAATTAACTGCAATTTATCGATAACTAGCTGGTGATGACGGTGTCCACCTTTTGAATAATAGCCTTCCAAAGGGAGATCTGGGGTGAGAGGGTTTCAACCCACTTCCCAGAAGATCTGGCCCTAGACTTAAAGGGTCAGTTCTGTAGTCTAGATTATGCATTTTGAATTTCAAGTATATGATAGAAAATTATATACTTCATTATAAAAACCTCAGTAGCTGGGCAGCTGGTGGACTGAGACCCCTGGTTTTAATGCTGAACAGCATTAATCTGCTGTTTGTTCTTTCCATATGTTATCGCTTTCCTTACACTTAGGTTGTGAACACTTCCTGTTAGACGCCTTCTCTTGTTATGCATTTGTACAGTACCCAGCACACTGAGTCCCTGGTCCACAGCCAAGGCTTCTAGTATACAATACAAGCATGGTAAGGAATAATAGAGCAGAGATCAAGCACATTCAAAATTGTGAGGGTCTCAGATACTAGGACAATGGGAGCCATATGCTCACTTGAGATGGGTAAGTAGGTAGCTGCATTTGTACATAATACATAGAAACAAATTGATAAGGCATCATTATTAAGGAAAGCCATTGGATGGCCACTTCACAAGCATGCCTAGCTGCTGCCAGTTTTGTATTGTTTCATGTTAAAGGAAGACTTGGCACCTCCCAAAGAGATGTTTTCATAGAAGTACACTTTTGATTTAGGTAAACGATTTTCTGACTCCTTCAGCTGAGCTATTAGGATTTCAGATCTGTATTGACAAAGGAACCTTTGATGCCATAAGCCTTAATCCTGATAATGCGGCTGCAAAGAGGAAGCAGTATGTGGAATCGCTCTGCAGGGTATTGAATCCAGAAGGCTTTTTCCTCATAACATCTTGTAATTGGACCAAAGAGGAACTGCTAAATGAGTTCAGAGAAGGTAAGTGGTTGAACAGAAGCATCTGCCAGCTGGTGCTTCTTTAAGGATCTGGTGAGTAAATGTTAATGTCCTATTGTCGATGATAAGGCAGGTGAGGATTAGACAACCCAACAGTAAATGGGCTAGATTATGCCTCAGTTTCATTCTCACTATTGCTCTCCTTTTCAAGGCATGGAGGGACAATTATGCTCTCCTATATTTTTCAGTGCTCATGCAGTTTAAGAGCGAGGGTTTTGTTAT